TGAATGTATGTATTTGGTACAGGGTCTCACTGCACAGCTCAGACTCATAGTGATCCTCCTGTTTTCAGCTTCCCCAGCGCTGCAATTACAGGTGTCTGGGCTCGTCGCCGGTTCTGTGCACCCCAGTGGCCAGGCCGGCACAGCATATGGGACCGGGGATCAAACCCTTGTCCCTGCGCTTGCCAAAGCAGGCACTTAGTCCACTGAGCTATCTCACCAGCCCCAGATAGATGTCCTTTAGATGTGTTAGATAGATTTTTCCTACTTACAGAGAACCTCAAAACTGTGTACTATTGCATTTATTCATTCAGCAAAAAATTATTGGCAGACACTGTTCTAAATGCCTGACAGTGATCCAAAGAGATCAAATCCTTGCCCTAGTGGGGGAGACAAATAATTTCAGGTGGTCATGGGTACTAAAAGGAAGAAAAAAGCATAATTTACCCATGTGCTCAAAGAGTGCCTTCTCACTAGGCCCGGTATGATCTGCCATTGCATAGCCCAGAAGGACATCCATAAAAAGTCTAGTATGTAAACAACACAAAAAGAGATGTCCTAAAAACATAAAGTAATAAGTTGAAAGTAGAATAAAATTAGTTTTAAGTTGAAACATCAAATAAAAAGTAATGGGGGCCGGGGAGATGGTTCAGTGGAATAAGCACTTCCCTAGCAAGCACAAAGGCCTGAGTTCAATCCCCGGTTCTGCAAAAAAAAAAAAAGTAAGGCAAGGTGTAGCACTTCAGCCAGCTCTCCGAGGAAAGCTGCAATTTGGATATACAGGAAGGGTGGGAAACACAGGCGTGGAGACTATTCCAAGCCATGAGGATGACTTATATAGAGAGAAAGAAAATGGTTTGCATCAAGAACTCTTCACAATGCATTTTAATAAATAACACAGGATGTTTAGTTATCTAGTGATGAGTAATACACTATGTTAAAACTGCCTGCCCTAGAACAGTGATGGCAAACCTTTTAGAGCTTTCAGTGATAACAAACAGTAGCATGCCAAGGGGGGCCACCACTTGTTGCCATGTCCTTCTCCAGCTCAGGAATCCAGGCTGGGTTGCCAGGCTCCCTTGGTTCAGGTATCGTGAGAGGCTGCAGTCATCCCAGGGTTCCACCAGTAAGGGTCACCTTCCAGGCTTACTCAAGTGACTGTGCCCCCCAGCCCCCCCCCCCCGCGCTCCCTGACTGCCACCAGACACCACAGGTGCCCTGGCTATGGGGCCCCTCCACAGGACAGTTCAGAGCGCCACTCGGTTTTCCCTAACAGGAAATGCAGGAGGGAGCCCCCTCTTTTAGTGACTTTGTCTCACAAGTGATGGGGTATCAGGCGTGCCAAAGGTACAAGTGCATTATTAGAGCCAACCCAGAGGGGATTGCAAAAGGCGGGAGTGCCAGGAGGTGGGAGTCACTGGGAACTCTCCTTAGACAGTGCTGCCCCGAGTAATGGAAGATTCTGTTGAAGGTACAGGCCCAGTCAGATGGAAGAAAGGCAAGGAAGCCACCCTGAGAATGAGGCTGTTCCATTGGAAGTAGAGGTAGAGAGTGGCAAATTTAATGTTTAAGTCCATTCTGGCAAATGGAAGTGTTGGGTAAATAGAATTCTGATGGTCTCCTAAAGAGCAGCTATTTAGCAAGTTAGGAAGATTAACTAATTATACTCTCCAGGAAACAAAAGCACTCACTTTCATCTGATAATGATCAGATAATCCTAGAGCAGATAAAGTATCTGCTCCTAGGCAAAACTCCTAACAGCCTAACTTCACTGATACATTCTTGAAAATCCAGAATGGGCAACTGATGTTGCTGACTGTTTTTCTGTTAGGATAGTTTAGTTTCCTTTCAATAGCTTTCAAAATTCTTCATTTCTTGGCTGATAGCAAACAATACATTTCATGTCACAATCCAGAATATATACATACTCAGAGTGCAAAGTGTTTAGCACTACTGGGTATGAATCTAGGGCCTTTGTGGTGAGCTAGATCCCAAGTCCTTTTTACAAATTTTAAATTTTTGAGACAGGGTCTTGCCAAGTCGCTAAATTGCCCGGGCTGGGCCGGAACTTGTGATTCTCCTGAGTGCCCTGGAATGACAGGCATGCACCACCACACCCAGCTCTCAAGTCCTATGGGATGCTTAATATACCATAAAGAGTACACTTGTTCTCTTTTCTCATTCTGTTTCAAGAGAAAGTGAGTGGAGTGATCCACTGAATCCTTTACTTTTCACTGCTTGGTCCTGTTCCACAGTTGGAAAAACGCTGCTCTTCTAGAGTGTTGGCATACAAATCAAAATCATGGTACTCTGACGTCAGCATTTGGTGCTGTAGTTTCCCAGTAATTGGGTGAAGGCATCGTGGGCAGCGCCCCAGTCAAAGCATTACAGCGAAACGCAGAGCATAACATGTCTCAGCTGGAAGGCGCCTGTGTTAGCACATGCACTCCAGAGTGGCTCCTATGAAGATGGATGTGGTCCTAGAAAATAGTCACCTTGCTGTCATGTTATTCAGGTTGTGACCACACAGCAATCAGATTGAGATCGCAAGCCCCCGGCACACAAATACACGAGACACATGCCCTTGATTTTCCAGATATTACACTTCTCTCTGGACCACCCAAAAGTCCAAAGAACAAGAGGTTTAGCTGCCAGCTGTCACCAGCCCTGAAAGCCTCCTTAAAACGCTTGTGATGAAAAAAAAAAAAAAAAAAAAAAAAAATCCCGCCTGTGATGGGGGGTGGTGACCTCAGAGTCACCTGGATGAAAAAAGTAGCTGAAGACCTTCTATTTCCATCAATGGAAACCTGATAGAAAGGAATTTCCCAGCAGCCCTCCATACCCCACCACCAAGACTACCTTTCTGACAAGAGTCCATTGGTGTACCTAACTAGGGATAGGGGCGGAAGGAATATCGTGGAGGTATTTTCAGCTCAGATGTGTCAAACTCCAAACCCGTGGAGAGAAGGCTACAGACAACGGGAACAAATTCTAAACAGTGTACAAGACAGTACAGGTTTAAAACAGTCCAGCAACACATCATTTAGAAAACAGTACCTGTTTTTAAAAAAATGGTTTGAAAAGGGAGGGATTAAGGCAGGGGGGGTAAGACTTTCTAGAGACACCTGACTAAGCCAAGGGTGACAGTGGCATTTCAGGGGGAGAAGGGAGGTTGGGCACTCAGGGAAGGAAGACTATTGTTTTGTGCAACTGGCGCCCGGAGCAGGTCTGGGGTGGGGACCTCGGGAAAGTAGAAGGGAAATCGCCCTAATGAACGGCGAACACGGGAGCAGGCCGAGGCACCCCGCATCTCACGTGCCACGGAAGCAGCCAGCTGTACAGATTTCCCCAGGAAAACAGTGATAACAAAAATTGGGATCACACCCAACCCTTTCCTCTGCCCTGCCCGAAGTCTCCCACGTCCCCAAAAGGCAGACAGCGGAAGGCCCAGCGCGCGTGTTTATTCCTCCGCTCGGCGAGCGTTTCTCCTTGGGGGTCTTTGTTCCTCGCAAGGGAAGGAAGGGCTCCTGCCTTTCGGGCTGGGCCGGCTTCCCAGGGGAGGACGGCGACAGGCCCCTGCAGAAGGGCCCCGCTCCAGGCCGGCAGCACCCCATCCACCCGAGGACAGGAGGCCAGAGGGGGGCAGCGCCCTCAAAGCAGGGGTGCTAGGCCTGGAGCGCGCCGCGCAGCGCAGAGCCCCCGCACCCCCGAAACCCGCCTCGCTGCTCAGAATGTGGCTTTCCCCAGCGGGCTTTCCCACGTCCGCACCCAAACCGGCTCCCGAAAGGGGGCCGCGCGCCGCCCAGCAGCCCGGGCGCGCAGCGTCAGAGCGCACCGAGGCGGGAGAGGAGCAGGGAGCGCGGCCGTCGGGCAGCGGCCGCCCCGCCGGGTCGGCGAGAGAAGA